CAGAGTCTGGTTCCTGTGTCCACCCTGCTCTCTTATGCCTGAAATTTCCCCTGAGAGATTTGTTTTCAATAGTTTTGATTCCTGTGAAAATATTCCCCAAAGAAGAAAGCATTCTCCAGTCTCCAGTCATGTGTAGCAGTAATATTCAGTGAGTGACTTCCATCGTGACTTTTGGCTCTTCAAAGCCCTATAATTGAAATTGGAAGTTCATATTCCACTAGACTGAAAGTAGCATTTGAGAAGTTCTTTAATGCATTTCTTTTTTTAAAAAAAAGACTATTTTTAGAACAATTTTAGATTCACAGCAAAAGTGGGCAAAAGATACAGAGATTTCACATAAGAGTATGTCCTGCTCTTGTTTTTCTTCTATTCGTATTGTAGACCCAAACTATGGCAAGGAAGCTCTTTCCCTTCTTCCCTTTTCAATCCAAGATTATACTTCCAAGTTCCCCAGCTTTTAAGTACCTGAGGAGATTTCTGGACTAGGACTCTGGAGACTTTTAACAAGGAGGGGGAATCTTGCCCTTGGGACACTAGATGCATGGCTACAGTGATGAAAGGAAGGGAGGAGTTGGCAAAGGAGCCACATGGCCCTGTGGGTGATGTGCTTGAGACTGTGCCGTCTCCTAGGGCACCCATCCTGTGGTACCCATCTACTATTCCTTAGTGAGGAGACCAAGGACATAATGGGAGTTTATCACTTGGGACCAGAAGCATCAAGATAATTTTTTGACTGGGCGTGGCGGTGTGCGCCTGTAGTCACAGCTCCTCTGGAGGCTGAGGCAGGAGGATTGCTTGAGGCCAAGAGTTTAAGAGCAGCCTGGGCAACATAGTAAGACTCTTGTCTCAACAAAAAAGAAAATAAAATAAAATTAGCCTGTTGTGATGAGTACCTATAGTCCCAGCTACTTCGGAGGCTGAGGTTGGAGGATCACTTGAGTTTGAGGCTACAGTGAGCTATGATTGAGCCATTGCACTCCAGCCTGGGAACAGAGTGAGACCCTGGAAAAAAGAAAAAAAGAAAAAAGAAAAAAAAGACAGCTGGGCTCGGTGGCTCAGCCTGTAATCCCGCGCCTTGGGAGGCTGAGGTGAATGGATTGCCTGAGCCCCCGGGGTTCGAGACCCGCCTGGGCAACTTGGCGAGATCTCATCTCTACAATAAATAAAAAATTAACCAGGCATGATAGCACATGCCTGTAATTCCGGCTACTTGGAAGGCTGAGGTGGAAGGATCGCCGGAGCCCAGCAGGTCGAGGCTGCGGTGACCAAGAGCGGCCACTGCATTCCAGTCTGGGTGACAGAGTGAGACTCCAACTCAAAAAAAAAAAAAAAAAAAAAAAGAGACAACAACAAAAACAAATGAAAAAATGAAAAAAACTGATCATGCTTATAATTCCAGCCCTTCAGGAAGTTGAGAGGGGAAGATTGCTTGCGGCCAGGTATTTGAGACCAGCCCGGGAAACATAGCAAGACCCTGCCTCTATTTAAAATAATAGCTGGGCTCGGTGGCTCAGCCTGTATTCCCAGCACTTTGAGAGGCTGAGGTGAGTGGATTGCCTGAGCCTGCGGGTTCGAGACCCACCTGGCCAACTTGGCGAGCCCTCATCTCTACAATAAATCAAAAAAATTAGCCGGGTGTGGTAGCGCACGCCTGTAGTTCCAGCTACTTGGAAGGCTGAGGCGGAAGGATCGCCGGAGCCCAGCAGGTCGAGGCTGCGGTGGCTGGGAGCCGCCATTGCACTCCAGTCTGGGTGACAGAGTGAGACTCCAACTCAAAAAAAAATAAAAAAATAAAAAAATAATAATTTTTGCAAGGTTTTTTTTTCTTTAAGAGGTAAGGTTGGCTGGGCTCAGTAGCTCAGCCTGTAATCTCAACACTTTGGGAGGCCAAGGCAAGTGAATTGGCTGAGCCCAAGGGTTCGAGACCAGCCTGGGCGGCTTGGCGAGACCTTGTCTCTACAATGAATAAAAAGTTAGCCAGATATGGTAGCGCATGCCTGTAGTTCTGGCTACTTGGAAGGCTGAGGTGGAAGGATTGCCTGAGCCCAGCAGGTTCACGCTGGGGTGGCCATGAGCATGCCACTGCACCCCAACCTGGGCGAAGGAGTGAAACCCTAACTAAAAAAAAAAGGAAGTAGGATTTCCTATGTTGCCCACACTGGCCTTGAATTCCTGGGCTCAAGTGATTTTCCCACCTCAGCCTCCGAATGACTGGGACTACAGATGTGCACCAGCACATCAGGTTTGGAAGGATCATCCTCTAAGCCTTCAGAGACACATAGATTTGGCATAAGATCTATTTACTGTTTTGTTTTTGTTTGTTTGTTTGTGCAGTGCCCACTTCAGAGTCAAGACCCTCTCAATGAAGGGGCAAGAAAAAAACCCCAGAGACTGCTAAGTGATGAAATCATTAACTTGAAGCTTCTAAAAATAAATAAACGAATGAATAAATAGCCTTGAAGCCACACCTGCAAGCAGTTTTGTGCTGCCTTCAATATCTTTTCTAACAACCTCAATTCATCTTAACAAGTGTTTAGTTGTGATGCCAGGAAGGCTCAAGTGCTCCAAACATATCCCTCTTTTAAGAAGACCTCCCTGGCCAGGCTCAGTGGCTCAACCTGTAACCCCAGCACTTTGGGATGCCAAGGCGAGTGGATTGCCTGAGTCCACGTGTTCGAGACCAACCTGGGCAACTTGGCAAGACCTCATCTCTACAATAAGTCAAAAAAAGTAGTTGGGGATAGTAGCAAGGGCCTGTAGTTCCTGTTAGTTGGCAGGCTAAGGTGGAAGGATTGCCAGAGCCTAGTAGGTCGATGCTGGGGTGGCTGTGAGTATGCCACTGCACTCCAACCTGGGTGACTGAGACTCCAACTCAAAAAAAAAAAGACCACCCTGAAACCAATAGCTAATGAAAAGCAACATTTATGTTGCTTTTTTAGAGCTACTGTTAGCTTCTTAGACAACAGGACCTGATTTCTGTCATGTTCTAGGAACAAAGAAATCCATTTTACAGGCAAATCATCCAAATGTGAAGTAAAGTAGGTATGTTTAAGGTTGCCTGGTAAAAGAAAGATTAGGTCTGAAACAGAGTTTGTCTCTTTAAATGATGGAAGATGTGAATATCACAGAGACTGAGACTTAGAGAAAGACATCAGTCCTATGTGGTTAATGGAGGAGCCTTTGAGCAGGAAGAAGGTGCCCAGCCCAGAAGAGTGTTGCCGGTACGTCCCTCATGACATGTGCCATGTGCTTTCGAGGCACCCTCTCATTGGCTTCCCATATCATCATTACAATTGGCACAAGGGAAGTGTGAAGAGTTAGGTGGCCCAGTTCAGCCGGTCAGTGAAGCACCTGGTCTTGGACCCAGCTTGGCTGACTGTGGCACACCTCTGTCCTGTTCTCCTGTAGCTTGAAGGGGACGAGGTAAGTGAGGCTGGAAAAAGACTTCGGAAAAAGAAACTGGCGGTTGTCAGTGTACAGGGAAAAGAGTAGATACTTAAAAATACACATTTTTAAAAAATTACCACAATCCAGAGAAGGAAAAAAACGAAGTATTCCAATGGAAAAAGCCCCTAAAGTCACCATTTTAAAACACAAACTCTAATCAGCTCTGAATGTTTACAGGAAACATATTGAAGCTATTGACAGGAACTATTGTTTTAGTGCCCAGGTTTTCAATTGAGGGTCAGGATGAAAAGGGGCCGGGACCTCAAATGATATTTTAGACTGAAACCAATGTTTCATGGTGGGAAGCTCCCTGGGCTGATGAGTGTGAGGGTTGGTTGCAGGACTTGGAGGAGTCCCTGGGTTGCAGGACACACTGCTGGCTGGCTGGGAGGGGCTTCTGAGGAGGGTCAAAATGTGCGTTCTTTGTGTTCTTGCACCACAGCGATTAGATTCTGAGGCCCTGTTCTCGGCAGGAAATGGTAAAGGAATCAGCAGGAAGCCTCAAACAAGGGAAGGGAAACTCCTCCCTCCTATCAAAGGACAGGCATGGGTGAGGATGAAAATGGAAAGTGGGGCTATGTGCACTGAGCTGTCTCAGGAGCTGTAGGGGGAGACCTGTTGAAATGGAGAGTGGCTGAGCCTTGAAAGGAAGGAAGGAAAAGTTATATGCCCAGAGGGCATGGGTGTGTGATAAACTTGTATTTATTGTATGACTTTAACATGGAGTCTTGGTCCTCCAGAAAGCTGCACTATAGCCAGGACGAGATAAAATTCCGTTCCTTTATTTACATGAGGCAGAGGTATGTGAGGTCCAGCGTCCCACTGAGAGGACAACCTTTCCTTTGTTCCCAATTTCTGGTATATTCAAGGCCAGAAGACCCAAAAATCATGTTGAAATTTTTTGCCAGGAGAATAGATGGAAGTATAACAGAATCAAATCCTAAGAAATACTCAGGGTGAAGGAGCAGAGGAATGCAACATGATGTTCACAGAGAGAATATCCTATGTTCTTGAGAAAGAGGGAGAGCTAGTGACCCCACAGGATAAAGTGAGTCCAAGAAGAGGAAACTGTTTATCTAAAGTCCAACAACTCGTTCTTGTAGACAAGAATTCAGCTTTGAAGTTTCAGTCCTCGAGCTTGGCTCAGTGAGTTGTGATACTCCCTAATGAAAAAGAAAATTCAGAACATTTTATGTTGCAGGTGCTCATGGATGAGAAGGCCGCTCCTAGATTTCTTATCTCATCAAAAATGCACGGGACTCTTAATGCTAGCAAGCTTGTGTTTAGATTGTTACCTGAAGAAAGGAAAAACAAACCGCCCCGAATGCTGATGCTACTGTTCTGGTAGGAAAAAAATTTCTGACAGCCAAGCGCAAACAACAAAACTTTTGAAAAAGCGGGCTTGGGGAGAGTCCAATGCCGTTTCATAATGGGTATGAATAGTTACTTTGCTGCTTTTTTTCTCCTTTCTGAGTTTTGATGTGGATCTCTTTCTATTTGTTCAGGAAATTGTGACGTGTGTTCTGGGCAGGGTTTGAGGTTTTGGAACCTTTTCTAAAAGGGACAGAGAGCACCCCGCTACATTTCCTAATTGTGAGGTTGGCGTGCAGCCGGTGGAGCTGGACTGAACTGGCCACAATGCAGAAGCTACTCAGGTGCAGTAGGCTTGTCCTGGCTCTCGCCCTCATCCTGGTTTTGGAAACCTCAGTTCGAGGTAAGACTTGGGAGTCTTGATCCCCTGCCATCTTCTTTGTAAGTCCCAGCATCCACACAAGTGATCACATTCATTTTAAGGGATACGATGTATAATACTGTGGGGAAGGAGGCCAAGAAGAAGGATGAGGCGGTGGCTGAACACCCTAGTGTGAGTTCAATTTAGTTCTGTACTAAGAAAACTAAACTCTGGGGCAGGTATCAGTCTTGTAAACTTTTACAGTGATTGAAATGATTGCTATTTTTATTTGGGGATTTAAAAAAGGTGTGGTTTATACCTTCTGAAAATTCAAGAAAGGACCATAGAAAATGACCCATGTGCCTGTTGCCCAGAAGAGATGGCATATCTGAGTGTTTTGGGGGCATCTACCTACCCCTGACTGTCTACACCAGCCCTAAGAGTTAGTGCATTGTGGTGATGTTATTATTTCTACAAAATATATACAAATATATATATATTTTTTAATTGGGGTAAACTTGACTGTGTTTATTTTTTATCTTTTTAAAAACTTGTTTCTTACTGAAAATTCAATCATGTTTAGACATAGTTAATATAAAGCCTAACTGATTTTAAAGAGCAACCAAAGAATGTAAGTATTTGGGCTGTTGCTCAGAGACACAGCACATTGGGAAATATCTTCTTGGGTTTCTCTGTGATTTAGGGTTGTTTAGTCAGGCTGAAGCAACTTAAAACCTCTAATGACTGAAAAAATGAAAATGACTAGTTAGTAAGAAAAATACAATTTATTCTCCTTTGGTAAATAAGAAATCTTGTCTAATTAAGGCAGAGGTCGTGGCCTGATAAATAGATGGCAGGACTTACAGAAAAACATTAAGTTCCCCCAAGTGGTAAAGGAAATGTGGAGTCACAGTGACATATACGTCCTGGATTTGTTTCTTCGAAGTGACTTCTAGTTGTCATGATCTTACTTCCGGTGGAAATGAAATCTTTCAGTTGATCTCAGAGACACTTATTTTATATTGGAAATTTATAAACTCCTTTTCTTATGGTTTTGCTAACCTTGAAGAAAAAAAGGAAATAATATTGCTGGAACTTTCTTGATCTATTTATTTATTTATTTATTTTGATTTTTGAGTCAAGATCTTGCTCTGTCACCCAGGTTAGAGTGCTGTGGCACTATCATGGCTCACGGCAGCCTCAACCTCCTGGGCTCAGGTGATCCTTCCACCCCAGCCTCCTGTGTAGCTGGGACTACAGGCATGTGCCACCACAGCTGGCTAATTTAAAAAATTTTTTTTTGTAGAGACAAAGTCTCTCTATGTTGCCTAAGCTGGTATTTATTTTAAAAGTGTAAAACATTTTCAACTGTTGGGAGCAGGTTTTACTTGGATCTTTTAGGAAAAAATCTTCAGCTTGATGAAATAATTCCTTAATAACCATATACTCCAAAAAGCTTGAGAACAGTGAGGTTCATACTTGTAGCACGGGCTTGAGTGGCCAGGTCATGCTGCATATACCCTGACAAGAGCTATGTAAGTCCTTATGTTTTCAAAATTTCCCAGAAATGTCACATTTCCCACTGAGATTTCTGAAGTAAAACTAGAATGAAACAAAATGTTTCTTGTATAGTATGTATTCATTAGGAAAAAAATGAAGAAAAAAAATCATCATGAAATTGTATAAAATGCTAGCGTTTATGTTGTCACCTGGTAGATGTAACTTTTGTTTGAAATAGGAAGCCAAAAAAAGAGACGATGGCTGAACTGAAAAACTAGGGTGTTTCCAAAGAAAGGTGCTTAGTATTGGACTCAAGGACTCGTGCCCACATCTAATCACAAGGGGAATTAGTTAATCATGCATGGCTGCACATGTGAGTGATGGCAGCATGAGGCTGCCATGCAAAGAGCTGTGACACCGTTTCATTAACCTCCATGTGGTCCGATAACATTCTTTCTTAACCCATTGGCTTGACTAGTTGAATTAACTAGGCTTTTGGCTTGCTTTTTCGGAGCATATGCACAACCATCCTAGGTTACTGTTTTAGTCTGCTAGGGCTGCCATAACAAAGTACCAAGGACTGGATGACTTAGACAACAGAAAGTTATTTCCTCCCAGTTCCAGAGCTTAGAGTCCAAGATCAAGGGGCTGGCAGGATTGGTTTGATTCTGAGGCCTTTCTCTGTGGCTTACAGTTGGCATCTTCTCCCTTGTCTCCACACGACCTTTCCTCCATGCCTCTGTGTCCTAATACTGTCCTCTTACAAGAACATTAGTCATTAGGGCCACCTTAATGATCTCAACGAAATATATCTGCAATGACCCCATTTCCAAATAATGTCACATTGTGAGATACCGCGGATTAGATCTTCAACATATGAATTTTTTGGGGGGGGAGGTCATAACAAGTAAAGACATGGTATAAAACTGTATCTGCCGACTGGAAAGAAACAAAAATTTGGGGATTTGGGGGAAACCCTGAAGAGCACCGATGGCTCATTTAACGTAGAGCTTCAGGGGATTTTGATACAGCCTGTGAATACACTCTTTTGCCTCTGTTTTTCAAAGCTGCCCACAAAGAGGGAAAATGAAAAATCCAAGAGCAGCTGTGGCCAAGGGAGCCCTGTGTCCACAATACACTGTCTCCTAGGTCATAGTAACGAGATTAATGCCACCCATGTGGGCTGCAGTTTGTAAAGTGAGTTCACAGCCATTTTCTGGTAATCATAATTCTATCCCTTATGAGGAAGAAGTAGCACCCATTTATAGAGGGGAATACTGGATACGACATTCATCATGTCATTTGCTCTATGCATCAACCTCTTGCAAGGCCCATTACAACTAATTAATGGCAGAATTGGTTATCTGAGTTCAAGGTCAGAATTAACTTTCTACTACAGCTCGTGGATTAGAGATTTTATTTACTTAACATAAAAAGCCTTCCATTGACTATAACCCTTGCTATAATGTTTCCCCCTGAGTTGAGGGAGAAGTTGAAAGTAAACTTAGAGCTTTTTATAGCTTGTCAGATCATGCAAGGGTGGGGGAAGCTTATCCATCTTGTAGAATTGATAGGCCAGTAGGAAGTAACTCCAGTTCAGATAATACTGCTATTTTGAATGAATCAAAACGATCTTTTTTCTCTACCTCATGGTAGTTGCTCTTAAGTTTCTTGAACATGACTGTAGTAAGTTTCCATTAAAAATAGGAAATTAAGCTGGGCTCGGTGGCTCAGCCTGTAATCCCGTGCCTTTGGGAGGCTGAGGTGAGTGGATTGCCTGAGCCGGCAGGTTCGAGACCCACCTGGGCAGCGAGACCTCATCTCTACAATAAATCAAAAAATCAGCCGGGCGTGGAAGTGCATGCCTGTAATTCCGGCTACTTGGAAGGCTGAGGCGGAAGGATCACCGGAGCCCAGCAGGTCGAGGCTGCGGTGGCTGGGAGCAGCCACAACACTCCAGTCTGGGCGACAGAATGAGACTCCAACTCAAAAAAAAAGAAAATTACTAAATTGTGATTATGTTTGGGGAAAATTGGTGTGATAATATAAAGAGATACAGAGAGACTACTGGAGAAGGCTGTTTGCTCTGGTAACATTTACTCATAGCAAGTATTTTGGTAGAGCAGGACTGTGGGGTGATATCGGGGAGGTGGGGGAGAAATGAGGGAAGGGATTCAAATACAAATCATTTTCCCCCCCTGGAATCCACTACAAAAGTAACCAGCGGGTCCAGTAAGTGGGCCTTTTCGGAAGATAACATTTCTGTCCACGGGCATACTCCTTTTTTATTTTTTTAAATTACTATAATCATAAGACATTTATTTCAAGCAAAATAGTCAAGATACTCTCATAATTTCAGGGACCAGAACTATAAATTTTCACCTCCTGCCAACACCCTTGAATAGCAGGAATTCTGTGTCTGTAACCATACTCTTTATTTTAAGGTACATTTAAGGTCATTAACCCCCAAATAGATAGACTTTTGGAGTGGGAGCACGCCTACCTTTGATTTTTTATGCAATTTAAAATTTTTTTAAAGTGTTATTATGATAGAGTTCACATGTCATACAATTCACCCATTTTAAAGTGTCAATTACATGGTTTTTGGTATAGTCACAGAGTTGTGCAGCCATCACCAGAGTTACTCTTAGAACATTTTCCTCATCCTTAAAAAGAAAGCCTTCTTGGTCACTGCTAGGTCATTGCCACTGCCGTTGCCAGGCCATGGTAGCTATTGCCTTGCTAAGCTATGGTGTGGCCATGTGCTCTTTGAGCTATGATCAGGCCATGTTTCCTGGCTTTGGCCCCCACCCCTACCTTGGGAAGGTGAATCTCCTCTTTCTTTCTCTCTGATTGACTTTCTAAATAAACTACACTTTCTAATCTTAAAAAAAAGAGGAAGCCCTCTTTATAAATGTTAATAGCAGAGATTCTGAACTCCGAGGGAATTTTGCATTTTAGAAATATTTTTTACTAATTTCCTAAAGATGTGTCTGTTATACTAGTGAAAAGATGTGGTCTTCACCTAGATCCTTCCTCATAATGCATTTGTTTTATTTTTCTGTTTAATTTCCTATGCAAGCAAACACTTTCTCAGTTTGACATTCAGTGCGTTAGCCATATGCCAAGGAGACTGTGTAGACAGGTTCTGTCCAATGTAGTAGACACTAGCCACCTGTGGCTACCAAACACTTGAAATATGGTGAGGCCAAACTGAGGGTTGTGAATGCAAAATATACATGATTTGGAAGCCTTAGTAAGAAAAAATGCAAAAAATCTCATTAATAACTTTTCTATTTATTATGCATTTGATGACAATATTTTGAATATATTTGGTTCAATAAAATGTATGAAAATCAATTTCTCTTGTTTCTTTTTACTTTTTAAAATATGGCTAGTATAACTTGGAAACCTCTTTACTAGTTTGCTTTGTTTCTATTGGACAGCACTGTCTAAACAGTGTAAGATGTGAAGATATCGCCCTCTGCTGGAGGAGATGTTACAT